TAGCTGAGTCGAATAAGTTCTAAATAAAGTATAGATGAATAAAGAAGTGACGAATACGAAGCTAGTATCAATATTTGTATGCATTATTACTAGTAGCACCAGTTTTCATACGAAAATGGCGCTCGGTAACATTGGGTCTTTTCCAGTTACATTTTGAAAAATAGCGGTTCTGCCCTAAACTTCAAAATACAATATAAAAAAATGTGAAACTCGTTTTTGTTCCAAAACTGAATATACTAGGTCAAAATAAGGTGAATTTGTCAGTAGCAGATCTATTGTAGTAGAACATAAATGACAGTAATAAATTAGAACTCTGCAAAATGATAATGTTTGATTAAGTTTGAAAAGTAGATCCTTATATGATTATAGCCTATTCAAAAGATCAATCGAATGATCGACGTATAGACTGCTAGTATAATCGAACAACATTCATTCATATAATGCTACAACTCTAATTATAAACTGTCAAGTTTCAGCTATGCTAACAATGAACAATTAAGTTGCATTCAAACTTAGAAATCAACACTAGCTAAGACTTTTTTCTCACAATTTGTCTGAGATTATTGCTATGCGATTCTAAATTCAATTGATTTTATAGATGCGATGAATGTTCGACTAAACTGTCATGAGATTATTCTAATCGGCAAGACTAGTCTAATGACACTGAGGTGAGAAACCTAGCAATCAGTCTATGAAAATGTAAATTCCGTAGTGATATTATATCGAACTAATGTAAGAAATAAAAGTAAAGCTTTAGCAAAAAAGTTCATTCGTGGCTTTTGAGAGATTGATATAATAAAAGACTTGTGATCCTATAATTGTTATGGATGCTATTGAATAACAACAATATCAAGGTTCCAACTGAAATTGCTGGCTTCACACAGACTGTAGTACATGAGATCTTTTTGTTGTTCTCTCATTTATTCCATGCCGATTTTGGCTGAAATTTTATGAGTGGATGAAATAAAAAATCGATGCATCTAAGGGAAATACTCGTGATAAAACGAGAGTAGCATTATGAATTTGCTATAAAAACTAGACTTTTAGTTTGACTAAATGAATAAAATATTGTATCTTTTGGTCTAATGTTGTAAGTTCTACTTCTCTATCTGAATTGCAATACGTATTTCAAAAAAGATACTGCGATGTTTTCGTTTATATCGATAGTCAAATTTCTCTATTTGTTTTCAGAGCAGTAATTCTTGTTTTAGTTTGATATTTATTGCTCTGATTTTAGATGCATTCAATCGAGAAATTTCTTCTTAGGTTTACTGATTGTCAAACTAACCTGCCATTATCAAGTTCTAATAAGTGATTTTGATGTTAAAGAAAAACTATTCCATTGACCAAACTATTCGAAAATGATACTAAATGTTCACAATAAAACAGAATACGTTAGAACAATTTTGAACGACTCTTACGCAGCTCTTGCGACTAATCTAACGACTTATATCTAGTGAAAGCTCTATTAGATAGAACGTATTAAGACCAACCCAAAGCAGCTGAACTGTTGAATTGATTCTTTATTTTTGTTTCTCTTCATGTGCTGAATCAAATAGCAACGACAACTACTAATACCAATAAGTAATATTCTAAATAATTGAATACTGCTTCCTACAGCGCTTTAATCAAAAAGAATTTGAATCTTTGAAAACTGTTGAACTTCGCGAATACAAAGGTATTCGAAATAAGTTAAAGGTACTCTTAATATGTCTGGAAAATTGAACAAACGTCATATAACGAAACGAAGCTCATGTAATCATCGCAATTGAGAGAAAATGAAGCTGTTGAAGTTGTTCGATCTTTTTCTCTCATTTTCGATAGTTTTCAGTGTTTTGATTAACCTAACACTACTCTTTCACTAAGAGTTTATGTAGATTTTGCGCTAATGAAATAGCACACGATGTTTTGTTTGAAAGAAACGACTGATGTTTTGATGTTAGCCATCTGTTATTAGGTGCCAATCGCTCTTGCCTTTTACTTACCTTCGGGACGTTCTTAACTCTTCCATCTCTAATGCTTTCTGTTACGAATTTCTCTTGTTCAAATTATATTATTAAGCCTGGACTTATTTGAACTGAACACTTACACAAGTTTTCTTAGCGCTAAGGACTGATATATATAACCATAGCTTTCAGTGGTTCTTCTTCGTCTGCATTACAATCTGAAAAGTCGTTTCATATGCATGGTAGGACATTCTAGTTTAATGCCGTTCATTTTAATTTTTCTTGTCATAAATAACGCAAGACATAGTTACGCGTTAACAGCTAGAATTTTTGTCGAAGTCGATAACACCATACAACCGTTGCTCAGCTGCGATTCGTGGATTCTGGGTTCTGCTCGGAAGCTTCCAATGCTTTCTTGAAAAGTTCGAGGCTATTGAACTATTTTAGAACGGTGGGGTGTGAGTGGGTGTGGGTGTGGGTGTGCGTGGGTGTGGGTGGGTGTGGGATGTGGGGTGTGGGTGGGTGTGGCTGTGACTGCGGGTGTGGGTGTCGGTGTGGATGTAATTGAAAATAATATTCAGGCCCACATCCACAAGAATACCTAAACTCACACCCACAAGAACACTCAAACTCACACCCACAAGAACACTCAAACTCACACCCATCCACACCAACACCCACATCCATACCGACACTCACCCACACACACCCACTCACACCCACATCCACACACCCACACCCACATCCACACCTACACCCACACCCACACATCCACACCTACACCCTGAAACTCACATAGCTTATTCAAACTGATTGTACTGATACAAAATGTAAAGTGAAAAAGCTGTATCGAATGACACTTGTTTTTCAGCATAACTGATCGATAGAAACAGCTCATTTTATAGATTTTTACATTTTGAAAAACATTTTTGTGCCGTATTTAGAGAAGCTTCCTTTTCATTATATATGCGAGTTCCACAAAATTAAAGACAACAACCTTCTGTCAATTTTCGGTTGTTTTCATCTTTTCAGAATCTCCAACTAAATTTTTGCACGATTGTTTCAAATAGCACAGCAATATTGTAAGACAATTGTTGTACTATATACATAACCCGTTAAGCTATAAAAGAAAAACTACCTTGCCGTTGATTTCAGGAAATGATGTATTTTTGTGGGAGAAGTTCCATAGAAAAGGCTTGTTTCTTTGCTCAATGTCGTACTAATAGCAATAAACGACTAGTCCCTATAAAACGTGTTGGGAACATTCGTACAAACAACGTATATACTATATAGTATAATGTCTTGTTTAAAGCTAAGGCTATTTTAACACCGTCAACAACTCTTTTAGTTTGATAGTAAATTAAATAAAGTAAAAAAAAGAAAACGAAAAAACAGAGAAAATATACACACCAGCAGTCTACTTGTTGACTAACAACAGAAGAAAAAAACAAACTTCTATCTGACAGATTATTACGAGTAACGCAGACTAATTAATAAAGAAATAAAATGCATGTCTTTTACAGGGTTGCCAGATCGAAAACTCAAAAATCAGAATTTTTTTTTCCAAAATCAGAAAACCATCAGAATCTTTTTTTGCAAAATCAGAAATTAATCAGAAAAGTCAGTTTTTGAAAAACCTAGTGGTTATTATGGTATCATGTTGGTACAAGATACTCTATTGAATCGCTGTTCATTAATTCATACTTTATTTTCAAAGATATTTCGCTATAAAAAAAGCATAATACAATGAATATACTGTTTAGCTAACAAGGAAAACTAATGAACACACGTAGTGCCGAACTCTTTCGCTACACTCAAAATTTGTTCACAAAAAAAGTACAAAAACAAATCACATATATACGATATAAGTTATAAGATCCTATGAAAGAAAAAACTGATGATTATGTAACATAGATTCGATATTATTGTTCATATTTTCCATTTTTTCGAATTTGCTTTAACAAAAGTGTTTGAGTTAAAAGATATTTATAAAATTGTTCACACGAATAATTATGATAAGATTTAATTTCGCTAAAAAAGCTGTGATATGATTTAGAAACGTTCAGAATTCAGGAGAAAAGCAGGGAAAATTATCAAAAACAGGAAAAATCAGACGAGAGTACTAAAATCAGAAAAAAATCAGACTGTCAGAAGGAAATCAGAAAGGCATCCAAATTTCAGACACTGTCCTGACTTTTCAGACAACCTGGCAACTCTGGTCTTTTATGTAATATTTTTTTCCTTTTCTGTTTCAAGAAATGGTACTTTGTTCAATTCAAAGTTGTAGAATTAGCTAGTCTGCTGCATGCAGCTAAGAAACATAGTATAGATTTGCCAGAAAAACGAAAGTTACCTAAGTAGAAAAGTACGAATAAATGTAACCATCAATGGTGGAGTCAGAATTTTGCGTAATATGAAAGGGGGGGGGGGGGGGGGTCAGTTCCTTTAACCTATGAAATGCATCTTTGAAAAATCTCCTCAGGGGAGGCTCAAATGTCTTTGAGGAAAGCTAACTTCCTGACTAATAAACTACATGGTTCAAAAATTTTGCCACGAGGGTTACTATAGCCTTGCTATCCGCTGGAACCACTACTCATAACCATTTTCTTAGCTTATATTTATTCCTTTTGATATCATGATTGCTGAAAAACATTAAGATGTAACAATTTTGTATTTTTTTTATAGGGAATTTTATCAAACTAACAGAAAATATCTTCGAACTTCGAGGGACTTCAAGGGAATCCGAGGGACTCCAAAGGACTCCAAGAGATTTCACGAACTCTGAGAGACTCCAAGGGACTCTAAGAAGTTGGAGTCTGCCGTTTCCCCTTGCTCACAACCACACCCACCCACACTCACCCACACCAATCCCCACCCACACCCACACTCACCCGCTTTTGCATTATCACTCTGTAGTATATATTATCTTTATTTAATGCTTTACGACAATTATTCAGTTCTCAAGACATGAAAAACAAAATGCTAATGTATCATAAAAAA